TATCAGTGAGACAACATTAACGCGGCCGATGTGGCCTGCCGCATCATATAATCATTACCCGATGGGGTTCTCCAGGCGAGACGAATGAACCATACAAATGGACACCGGTTCATCTGGAACAACGCTGTTGCTTTGCAGGTCGCGCTTGACTGCGCATAGGTTAGAGTACAATCGAATAAAACCTATTATGGGCCGGATGACCCAGAAGTACAAGATCCCACAACACAGGCAATCATGAACTACCCACCTGTCCGTATTCAGAGCCCTCTATCGCCGAACAGTTCTGTACTGTACACACCTGTCTCCTTGAATTCCCTCCATTTCACCTCCGTGCATCCTGCACACTTCCATTGGGAACTTCAGGTGGTTGTACTAACAAATGTGTTTCAGACAGGAATCCTTCCACTATTCTCTCACTTCCTACTGCGCCTTGAGCCCCAAACGAACCGAATCCTCTCTTACTAGATGAAGCTCTTTGTCCTCAGTGTCCTTCACACTAGCCACATTTAACATGCGGGCTCTGGTGCTGCGGCTTCTGGTCTTACTGGTGTTAGCACAACTCTTAGTGGGTGAACTGTTAGACTCTAGTTGGACTCTAGTCAAAAGTCGGTTGTGCGCAATGAGACTCAGTTTCATGCAAAGTAAACAATTGACACCCCGATAGACGCATTGATGAACTACAGACCAGGTGCAGTCGAAAATATTTTACCAAATCTGCGCGTTCTCTTGAATTCAGCAAGTCGGGCTAATATCTTGATTTTAGCTGGGAGTATAGATGCTAGAGTAGGCTAGCTGTTTTGGAACGAAGCGCATGCCATTTTTGGACCAAATGCTTGTTACTTAGAAAACGGGGGATGGTTGTTGACATGCTCTGACCATCACCCATTCCTCCTTCAAACGATGCAATTGCCGGCCTGACCTCTTCGAGTCAGTGACAGACACAAGTAGACCACAAATCTATAAACCAGAATTGACTTGGTTGCATCCAAGGCCGCTGATCGTTTTAAGAACTTTCCTCAAATCCGATCACCCGTTAGCCAGCACCAAGTGTCCATGTTCTTCGATGGTCTGCGATGAGCTATTCTAACCAGTTTTCCTATCCGCCCTTTAAAACGCACTGGCTGGAAATCCAAGGCCAAACACACCTATTACTATCACCATCTCTGATCGCTCATCGAGAAAGCTCCTCATTCCGCTGGTCTGATGAGTAGTCTCGTGATATCCTGCATTTCCACTGAGTCACTGAGCCTTGAAGCACACCGATCAAAATCGCCAGGCAGCAGCCAAAACAAGGTTCGTGACGGCATGTGAACCCAACTTAAGCCCACACGGAGACTGCAAAATCTAGTTGTCTAAACTCACATAGGAAAAGGAGCGTTCTACAGCCATGGGTACTTCGAATACGCCGTTTTTATCTCATTCGAGGAGGGCTCTACATCTGAGAATAATAATGGATAAAACTGGTGACTCGCCTATTCTCATTGTACGTTTTGCACACTGGAATGAGCTCTTCAAGAGACAGGTTGGTTGCCCATTATCACCAGATTCTCCCACAGCCATTCCGATGTACGTCGCATGGCCAGTTTCAACCTACCCGCCTGGAGTGCCAACCCTGAATGATATATAAGTTCCGGAATGTCACAAAGAGCCGGGCTCCTATGGCCCTCCGCTAGCCCTGCTTAAAGATGGTAACATAAAACTTGCTAGAGAATTGTTCCAAAGTTTGGAACAGCCCTGTTTGGAGTAGGGCCTGCGTAATGATTGCACCAACGACAGGCGCATAAGCCCAAGCTCAATAGCATCATTTCCGTTGTCTTCATTCTTCGCAGATTGTACAATACGTGTGAAGAGTAGACCCACGAGGAACTGATTGGGTTTCACGCTGATCATACTTAATTTTTGAACGTGGTTGTTTTGTTTGTAGTGCGGCCTATATACGATTGTTCAGTATCGCATATAATGATCTGCAACAGTTGGCTTCCAAAAGGAGTACTCTCGCGGGCTTTCAGTGACTCTTTTTCTTTCTTATCGCTCCAGTTCTTCATTGCTCCCCGGTTATTGTGGGACATATGCAATGATCTCGCTGTCCAGGGTCACAATAATGATATTGTATTAAACGAACATCTTACTGTGGATGGGGCTCTAACATACGTTTAAATGAACTTTAACTTTGAATTTTTTTCTAATTGTCACTTTTACTCATCTCAGGTAGTTTTCTACAAGCCCATCATGCGTTTATTTCCAGTCCGGCTCCACATAATCCCCATTCGGGTCATCGTTTGCCACACCACGTGCCAAGGAACCGTAAAGTTCATCGTGTTCGTCTTGTTAGTCAATTCACTAGTAAGGAATTGAATCACAACACAAGTTTCATTTTCACCAAACTTAACCAGTTCGACCGTGCTACTTGATAACTATACCTTGTGATGTACCTCGTGTGTTAATGAAATCAGGTAGTTTGATCAGCTCACCTAATCGTCACGTGGGTTGCACGTTTTCGTTCTACCGATACACAGTCAGTCCCAGTT